ATCAGTCGACGGATTCAGTCAGCCGGGCCGCAGTGTCCTTCACTTCCACTTGACTTGGTTCGATTCGGTGCTGGTACGTTTCGATTCCATCCCAGCCCAAAAGGATATCCGATTCGGTGAGCTGCAGCTCCGGATTGTATGTATTGGTATCCTGTTCTTTGCGGCCCACGTAATTGCTAAATTTAAAACGTCTTCGCATTTACAGTCGTCAGTCATCATTCGCAGTCATGCAAGGCCTGTTTGCTAATTAAATTTAAACGTGGGCAAAGGTCATATCGCCGCCTGATGTACGAATATAAATTCCCCACACACTCAGCCGCACAATGGATTATTTTGGCAGGAAATTGAAAAATTCTTTATTTTTCATTGTCACAAGTAAACAGCGTGGAGATCCGAAAAAGCGAGAATTTGCTGAAGCGAACGCTATTAAATGCATCATTGACCAACAGGCGAGCTAAAATATTTGTTTTGTCAGGAAGAGAAAATACAAAAAAACATGGCCGAGGACCTCGACAAATCCCAAAAAGTCAAGCGTTGCTCATGTTTTACGCCACATTTGCCGGTACAAAAAAAGTTGTCAGCACAAAAAAAAAAACAGACGAACAACAACCACACACAAAAACACACACTCAAAGACCAGACACAAACACCTTTATACTCACACCAACAATTTTCACAGGAAGCAGCGAGGAAACTTTACTTATAATAGAATTTTCAAGCATGACCATACCCTCAATGACGTTAGGACTATGTAGATTTTGAAAGCACATACAAATTGGAATTTAAAAATTATATTTATGATTGAGGTAATTTTTTGAGATTAATAATATTTAATCTAGGTAATCGATTAAAACGATAAAAGTTTTATAAATTATAAATGACAAGTGTTTCAAATTGAATTTAATATTTATTTAAGAGAAACTTCTTTAATGACTTGAAAATTAATATAATTTGCCTTATGAAACACAATTTTGAATATCCTTAGGGTATATGGGCCCTCGTATTGTCTTTTTTAAAATTCGGGCTCCAGACCCGCTTTCTGGCTTCTGATGCTTTGCCTCTCACTGGTAGCCACAAATTGCCTTTTTCGCACGTTGATTGATTTTGGAACTTTTTCTTTTGGTAGAACTCCTTACGCCCCCCTCCCAAACCCCGGAAACCCAGGAAACCCTCAAAACCATCACAGACATTCATACACTCGCTTAGGCTCTTTACTTTCAGTACAAAAGTGGTAATAAAAACGGCTGCGCTTCGGATGGCATCGCAATTGTTCAACTCGGCTTTTGCCTCGGCTGACCTCCATCGATCCTGGGCCAACACCGCCCATAGTTGTGAAACACATAATTATTTATTTACGAGTGTTCATTCATTGATGAACACAAACGCTGTTTATATTGCTCGTTTGCCCTTCGCTCCAATGCGAAAATGTGAGGGTTCAGGCCGGTTCACCTGGTCTGAAATGCGGCCTTTCTTTCATATTTTTTTTGGTTGCCAGGTGTAAAAATAGTCCGAGACGTTGCCAAAGTTAGAAAATAGAAACGGAAGCACTCAGGATAGCCGCTTTATATTTGTACAACTATTTATGTTGCCAAGAATCCTTGTGCAAAACAGAATGGAAAATGTATGGTAAATAGGAGGGCGTGCGAAAAAGGTTCATTAAGATTTATAACAATTTTTTAAAGCAGCGTTTTTATAAATATGTTGGCTTTTAAGGGAAAAGGTACAATAAACTGTTTTATTTTTAAATATTTAAATGCATTTATGTATTAGGAAATCACTTTTAGGAGTAGTTATATCAATCTCGTTTAAAGGTTTTCTCCTAATATATTTTTAAATTAGTTAGATGCTAATCCTTAATAATTTTTAGTAAATCGACCATTAACAATTATTCGCCTATTCCTGGCAGCGATACCCATTTAACAGTAGATTTACTCAAGGACTTAAATCAAAAAAGCCGCCAGGTTGAAATACACACTAGGGCACCTAAATATAGAACTGTATGCATAATGCACGCCAGTTTGCAAGCATTAATGGGACAGGAGGTCCTCGGAGGACCCTCGGCTGAAGCATGTTCCTGGAGCCTCCGACATATCCATTATTGAGTGCGGGGAATGGCAACAGCCTGCGGTTGCGTTGTACATATTATAATTATAGCCGTATGGATTAAGGCAGTCAACCCCGTCAGCCACCGGAGCTACTGGAGGATTAACGTCGAGGCTGTTGGGATATGTGAGGGTACAGCACCTTTCCGACTTGTCATAAAGGGGAAACCGCAAAATATGAGCAGGTAAACCACACACAAGAATTAAGACTTTTCCTTACCCTCTATTTAAAGCAAATAATTGCTTCATAAAAATAATCCATTCAAATAATATAAAGTAATAAAGGATATTTAGGTTTAGCTTGCGAACTTACATAAATGAAAGCTTTATAAATTAAGGTAAGTTGTTTTATTTAATGCAGTTGGGTTCATTAACTTTGACTTATATATCTTATAACATATAGAAAGACAGTAATTCTAAAAAATTATTACTTAATTTGTATAAAGTCGATTTTGTGTGATTTAATCAAAAATATATGAGTTTCAGTAGTACATATAATATTGTCCATCCTCATTTAAATTTTACTAATTTTCTCTTGTTTAAAAACCCTGTAGCATGAAACAATACGCCCCTTGTTGTGATAAGTAGCAGGTAGAATAATAAAAATTTGCTGGCAGCGCCTGCAGTTGAATGTTAGTGAAAAATGGAAAAACGAGCTGAGAAGGAAGCGATTTACATAAGTTATTATGGTAAACCACACAAGTGTGACGGCTCACGTGAGGGATGTGTCCGAAAGATGTACAAATGTAAACGGAGAATGTCAGAAATTGTATTTCACAAACAGGCGCTTGTTATTTTTCCTTCTAGGAGAAAGTATTACCCTCTGGTAAGCACTATAATCATCACTAATGGACAAGCTGAAGTATTTTCACGAAGGCCAAAGCTACACTTTAGCTGCGGGAAAGCCAAGACAAGTCAGGGCCCAACGATCAGGTGCACAGATTTTTTTCTATCTTGCGCAAAAATTGTGTTAGACGTGCGAAAGTCATGTAATTTGCTATTACGCAGCCTGGAAAAAAAGCTTCTAGTCCTGATTTCCTTCTTGTTTTTTCTTAAACTTGTTGAGGGAATTTCTGGTTGTTGCTTTCATGTTTTTGTTTTGGGCATTTCGCCACTTAGATATAATGAGAAATTCCTTGGGCAGAAACCCTTTTTCAGAAAAGGTAAACAAAGCCCTAGTTGGCTTAATTGAACATTTTACTCAAGTTACGCTGTGAAAAATGTGTGCGCATTTTCCAAATCATTTCAAGTGCGCACAACCACGAATGTTGGTCGGGAATTCGTTTGCTAATGAAGCCAAAGTGGATTTCATGGGGTACCTTTAAGTGGCCTGAACTCTGACCTTTATTAGCAGGTCGGAAATGTTATATTTGTCCCAGAATGCGGACAATTTCATCTGTTAACGAGGGCCAACAAATTGCTAACTTGCTCGACTCGAACGTGTGGCCATTAAAATCACAAATTCCGCAGCCATTTGGAGGGGCAATTAAATGTTCTTGGGTTAGACCCCTGCTTGAAGGTCGAATTAGGCCATAAAAGTGTTGTATTTAAGGACCCATAAATCATGATCTCACTAAGCTGTCGTCAACGTTCACAAAACAAAAGCGTAATTCCCGCGTACTTATTAAATATTTCACATAAAAAAAGGGTTTCGCCGAAAAGGTATACACAGTGTCACAAAGCCTTTAAGCCGTTACCCAAACGGATTTCTTCAAGAGGACAGTAGGAATTTGAAATGCCATTAGTGACAAAAACCAAATATGACATACTCTAACTGGATTGTATCAATATTAGATTATGATATGATTTTATGATACAGTAAAGTAGTTATTTTTTAAAATATTTTGTATTATTGCATTACCAATTTGAAGCATTATTGCATTAAATTGCTTTAAGGCTTATTTATTACATTTTGTTTATTGTATATAAAATTTATAATTTATAATTTATTCACGTAAATTACTACTAGGGCATCATTAAATCATTTATGCTCCAGCATTAACTTGGCTTAAGTCTTTCTAATTTAATAATTTAATAATTAATATAATTTAATTTCATAAACAATTTAATTGGGATTACAAACAGTCCAGGATCAAAATTTAGCAATAAATTTAATACTGAATCCGTCTTTGAGTGTCTAGAACGAATAAATAAATGTGCAAATATTCATTTTCAAGCCTCTTAAATTTGAATTTTTTGGCTCTGTGCCAAAGCCTCTTAAGGCAAAGGATCGCGTGGTATGTTTGACATACGTAATAACCACCCAAGCATTGGGGAACAATTCAACAATCCGCTGAAGCCTGCCAAACTGTTTATATCCGATTTCAGGTAGGGAATCTGAATCCTGGCCGAGCAGGACGTGCAGGCATCCATGACACAGTGAGAACCTTCCCAAACAGACTGGGCCATCACGAGCCGAGGGCGATGCGAAATGGGCGATGGGCGATGGGCCATGTGCCATGTGCCATGGGCCGGGCCAAGTGGTTGGGACTACGTGGCATTATAAAGGCAACAGCCACGGCCACTTGCGCACGTCGCAGTCAGCTGAGCAGGGAAGAGCCGGGCAAAATTGGCGATGGAGGCGACTGGGCTTATGAAAAATTAAAATGTTTACGCTACATTAAATGCAAAGGAGGCATCGCCAGCGAATTATGATTTTGCGAGTGCCGGAGCGCACACAGGCGGCGCACCTTATGGCACCTTTGGGAGTGAGTGCGAACCACACACACACACACACACACACGTTGCGTATTAGCAACGAGTGCGAACTACGCGGCGTATGAGCAACTTAGGGCGCACTAAATGAGCAACTTATGAAGTAATGACTGCTAACTACACGGCATATGAGCGAGCAACTTGGTCAATTTGCACACCACACCTCACGGAATGCAAATGTTTTTATTTGATGCGCAAAACTTTATACTTCCACAACATTTCCATAACGAACGGTCTACGACTTTCGGACATTTTTATCCGCACCGACAGCTGAAAGCGACCAGGTGGATGGATGCTGGGAAACAAGGCGATCGTGCCCTCGTGCTTCAGGAAGTAAACCTTCGGCTTGATGGGACACTTAAAGTAACTGCCATTTACCACCAGCCCCTCGTAAGTTTTGCTTAGCACCTTAAACAGGACAGGATTGTTCAGAAATTCACAACCCTTAATTTGCTCCATTTTGTACAATATTCTCCGTGTTTTAGCCACTTTCATTGTTATATCGATGGTGAAAGTAGGGGCCAATTTTACCACTCGAAACGTATAGAGCAGGCTCGAGTTCGACACCCTTTTAAAGTACTCCACATAATCGTGATCACAATTCGTCTCCAGCGACTCCAAAACTATCTCTATGTTGCCTTTTTTGACGACATTTATTAGTCTTAGTTATTTCATGAAAATTAACAAAAATTATAAGATATTAATACCTCCTCATTGGCTACTACAGTGAGTATGCCAATTATACAGAGCGAAAAGATAGAACACCTTCTAAAAGCCATGCGATCACAATTAACCAAATACTCTTATTTACCAAACCGCTGTTGAATAACTAATGAGCTATTGATTGCCAACAACTCATTAACTATTAAGAGATTACTTAATAATTCAGTTAAACAAAAACGGTTTTGTATCCGATATTTTGTTATTCCAAATATAAAAAAATTAAATGTATGTATTTCTAAATTTTGAAACCATATATGAATAAACAATGCCATTTATTTTACACAGCAAAAGATACAAATGCATTTATTTGGTGCGAGTAATATTGCACTTCCAAAACATTTCCAACAAACGGTCTCCAACTTTCTGTCATTTTTACCCACATCGACAGCTGAAAACGCCCAGGTGGATGGATGATGGCAACCACTAAGGCGTCCACACTTAAAGTAACTGCCATTTACCACCAGCTGCTTGTAAGTTTCGCCAAGCACCTTAAACATCAAGGTATTATTTAGAAATTCACAGCCCTTAATGTTTATCCATTTTCTACAAAATACTCTGTGTTTTAAGCACTTTCATCGTAACTTAAGCACTCGAAAAGAACAGAGCAGCCCTCAGTTTGGCACCTTCTGGAAGTACTCCACATAATCGTGATCACAATTTGCCTCCAGAGACTCCAGGACTCCTTTTTGAAGACCATTGTCTGCGGGATTTTTAATTATTTTATAGAAATAATACATCTTCCTTGGCTATTACAGTAAATATGCAAACCAGCCAATGCGAAAGAAAAGGGCAACCACTAAAAGCCATTGTACCGCAACTGATCAAATGATTTTATTTTCTCAACAGAAATTTAACTGATGAGATATTAATTGACCCCGCATCAACTCATTAGAAGAGGTTACTTAATAATCCAATTTAAAGCAAATTACTTATGATCAGATATATTTGATATCATAATTAAAGAGAATAAATGTATGAACTTTTAAACTCTCAAGCCATACGGGTAAAAAAAATTGTAATTATTTGATGCGAATAATTTTATACTTCCACAACATTTCCATAACGAACGGCCCACGACTTTCTGTCATTTTCACCCGCATCGACAGTTGAAAGCGTCCAGGTGGATGGATGGCGGGAACTAAAGAGACAGTGCCCTCGTTTTTGAGAAAGTAAACCTTCGGCTTGATGGGACACTTGAAGTAACTGCCGTTGACCACCAGGTGCTTGTAGGTTTCGCCAAACACTTTAAACAGCATTGGATTGTTTAGAAAATCACAGCCCTTTATGTTTTCTATCTTGTAAAAAATTCTCTGTGTTTTTAGCACTTTCACTGTGATATCAATGGTAAAAGCAGGGGCCAATTTTACTACTCGAAAAGTATAGAGCAGCTTAGAATTGGGCACCTTTTTAAAATACTCAACATAATTGTGATCACAGCTCGTCTCCAGGGATTCCAGGATAAACTCTATGTTGCCTTTTTTGAAGACCATTGTCTGCGGCAGATTTGTATATTTAAAAACATGTACCAGATGCTTAAAAGATAGTAATACCTCCTCATCGGCCACTACAGAGAGTGTGCAAGCCAGGCAGAGCAAAAAAAGATACCAGACACTGAAAGCCATGTGACCATAACTGACCAAATGATTTTACTTTAGCAACCGCAGTTCGATTGATGAGCTATTAATTGACCACACACCTATTTATTAGTAGAGATTAAGAACAAATTACATATGATCAGATTAATTTTGTTATTTCCAAATTAAAGGCATTGAACAAAATATAAATATACCTTTAAGGCTGCAGTAGTTACAAATATTTTAAAAAATTGTTTTTGGCAGAGAAAATAATTTCATTTTCAAATAAAATTAAGTTTTTCTTACAATTTAACATCTGTGCCAATGAACCCCAAATTCCTTTTGGAATACTTAAAGATTGGATACAAGCCACGTGTCGTTAATAAATAGTTCCGTAATCTATTTAAAGCACATTGAAAAGACATTGAAGACAATGTAGTTAATGCGGACATTTTTGCACTTTCTTAACATTTCTATAACAAAAAGCGTTGCAAGTTGAATGCCAAGAGATGGAGGAACATTCGGAATCATTGACACCATTTCCTCATATTTCAGATAGTAAGCCTTACCCTCAATATTGTTAAGAAAGTTGCAGCATGAAAGTACTCCACATATTCGTAGTCACAATTTCTCTTTAGAGAATATGGGATTAACTGCATGTTGTCCTTAAAAAAATAACAATGGATATTCTATATGTAAAATTGAATGCAACGGATGTTTGCACTCTTTTGCTACCACAGACAGACAGCGAAAAGAAGAAACCACCATTAAAAGCCATAGAGCCATATATGGTTTAATGATTTTATTTCCTCGACCACAATTCGACTGATGAGCTATTAATTGACCACAACCCAATCGTTCAGGTGGAAGATTACTTTATATGGCAAACGGGAAAAAAACAGCTATGGGCCAGACATATGTATGTTTTTTGTAATTTGTAATAAGTTTAAAAATGTATTCATGAAAAAATCGAGTATTCGTTTTACATTTGATAGTTTCCCCCGTTTCTAAAGACAGAACGTGTATTAATTTCTTGTGTAAATCCATTGGGCAATGTTGGCTCAGGCGTTATGAAAGCAAAATCAAACATAAATAGCTGACAAAGGAATTTCAAGAGTAATTTTATTCAAAATCTGAACAAGTTCAAAAACATCCAACTAAAAAAAGTAATTTTACTTTATACGAACTACATTATATATCCAGAGCATCTCCATTACAAAGGGGGCTCGGCTTTCATGCACCCTGACTCGCATGGTGATCTGATATCTTCCAGGTGGGTGAAAAGTGGGCAACATGGCCACAGATCCCTCATTCTTGAGAAAATATACTCCCGGCTTTATAGGACAGCTAAAAAAGGTACCATTCACGATTAGTCGCTTGTACACAGAGCCGAAAACGCGATTCATCAGGGGATTTGTGAGAAACTGACAGCCATCCAAGTTGTCCACCCTGTACATCACTCTTTTCGTTTTCAGGACCCTCACAGCTACATCGATGGTAAAGGTTGATACCAGTTTCACCACACGAAATGTATAGATATCCACTTTGTCGGGAACTTTTCGGAAATACTCCACAAAGTTGTGATCACAACTGGTCAACAGAGATTCCATGATGAACTTGGAACCTCCCCTTCGAAAAACCGGCGGTTGCTGTGTTATATTCACAAAATAAGTATGTTTTTGGGAAATTTGCGTTATAACTACCCCTTGATCCGCAGCTGACACGACTGCACCAATCCACAGGAAAAGCAACCAACATGCACCAAAACTAAAAAACATTTTTAGACTAGAGTAGCTACAACTAATGCATTCGGCCTTTAATTTTATTGGGGTTGAAAAGGGATTCAGTAATGCCATAGGTTTCACCGAAATGTTCAGTGTGCATGGTTCTGTATCCCAAGATTTCGGTCACCAAAAACACAGGTACTTTTCCCTATACCTAAAAAATAGCCTTTGTATACACATAGATAGGATAAACCTAAAAAATAGCCTTTGTATACACATAGATAGGATAACGGAATTTCTGATTTTAACTAGAAACTATCCTGACGGCTGAGAGGCAGAGAAAGAGAGAAAGTCTCTCTTAGAAACATTTGACTAGCTCAACTAGATACTAAATTATTTTATAACATGTATATTAATAATTTCAAATCAGAGCGCCTTAAATTAAAAGACCGTAATTATATATTATATTTATTAATTATATATTTTAATTATATATTATAATAATATTATTCTTAAACAATTTAAACTATCTAAATAAAAATTTAAAATATATATTATTCATAAAAATTAACTGACGATTTTAAATTTTTATCATATTCTTACATAGTTAAAATTATTAAGAAAAAATGTTGTTTGTTATTTATCATATTTTTAAATCAACTCCAGCGCTCAACCGGTACAAATACAGCGCCTGCGCTATCGGATTAAATGTTATGTAATGTAAAACAAAAATTCTAGGCTGTTACTTAACATATTTTAAAATCAGATCCTGATCTCAACAGAATCAAAAACAGTTTCAGCGGTTAACCTGTTCAAACGACTATTTTACATTCCAGAATTTTACATTAGTTCACTATTTCGCCGCCAGGGGGCGACAATGAGAGTAAGGATATATGCAACCCGCCAAACGGCCAAAGCGCCATCTATGTCTCAGTATGCGCGGCTTAGCTCGTAAAGCGTCATCTAAGAGTCATTAATTTTGGGTTGTGTCTTGACTATATGAGGATCAATTTGACAGGATCCCTTTGAAAACTGTGATTACATATATCCTTACTCTCATTGTCGCCCCCTGGCGGCGAAATAGTGAACTAATGTAAAATTCTGGAATGTAAAATAGTCGTTTGAACAGGTTAACCGCTGAAACTGTTTTTGATTCTGTTGAGATCAGGATCTGATTTTAAAATATGTTAAGTAACAGCCTAGAATTTTTGTTTTACATTACATAACATTTAATCCGATAGCGCAGGCGCTGTATTTGTACCGGTTGAGCGCTGGAGTTGATTTAAAAATATGATAAATAACAAACAACATTTTTTCTTAATAATTTTAACTATGTAAGAATATGATAAAAATTTAAAATCGTCAGTTAATTTTTATGAATAATATATATTTTAAATTTTTATTTAGATAGTTTAAATTGTTTAAGAATAATATTATTATAATATATAATTAAAATATATAATTAATAAATATAATATATAATTACGGTCTTTTAATTTAAGGCGCTCTGATTTGAAATTATTAATATACATGTTATAAAATAATTTAGTATCTAGTTGAGCTAGTCAAATGTTTCTAAGAGAGACTTTTCTCTTTCTCTGCCTCTCAGCCGTCAGGATAGTTTCTAGTTAAAAATCAGAAATTCCGTTATCCTATCTATGTGTATACAAAGGCTATTTTTTAGGTTTATCCTATCTATGTGTATACAAAGGCTATTTTTTAGGTATAGGGAAAAGTACCTGTGTTTTTGGTGACCGAAATCTTGGGATACAGAACCATGCACACTGAACATTTCGGTGAAACCTATGGCATTACTGAATCCCTTTTCAACCCCAATAAAATTAAAGGCCGAATGCATTAGTTGTAGCTACTTAAAGCTGTAGTTGTATTAATTCATGGAACTACTGATTGTAAACCCATTTAATTAATAGTATGAGATCTCGACAAGATCTCCACCACCATATACTCTATGGTGCATCTACATACACACAACTATTCAGTCGCCATCACAGTTGTTTGAGAACCATGTACTTCTAGAAATTTTCCACCCTCACACACACAAGCAAACACGCACCCACAATCCCATATGTTTATCGAATATATACGAGTCTCCCCTACCCTATTCTCCAAACAGAGATAGTTAAAAAAGAGTCTTCGTTCAATTATATCAACCAGGTAAAAGTTAGTTCTTTGGATCTAAGGAACGAATAGACATCGTCGGTTTACTGCGTTCTGTTTAAAACTCTATTTTCGTTTTTAATTTTTGTGTGCTTAATAAAAAAGTATAAACAAAAAATATTAAGCAATGGCTTCAGTGCAGTGCGATATTTGTAATAACAAAATTAATCTGTCGGAGTTCGAAGTTCATTACGAGGAGTGCTCAAAACCTCGAAATGCTATTGCACCAAAAAATAAGATTAGTTGTGATTTATGTTCAATTGATGTAGATTGTGAAAAATTTAGTGATCATTATAAAATGTGTCTAGGACCAAAAAATGCTTTCAATGCGCTAATGCAAGCCCGGGCCAAAAATACAAAAAAGATAGATATCAACGAATATGATATTATTGACCAGCTACCATCTACTTCGAGTGCTGGAATTAAGCGAAGTAGAAATGATGAAAATTCCGCTCTTGAGAGTAATCCAAAAAGGATTAAATCTCAAATCGAAATTATCTGCGATCTATGTGGAGAAAGGTATCCCCAAACCGGAAAAATCAAACATTTAAAATCGGAAAAGCATAAGAATGCAATTGCTAGAAGAGTAACAGATGTTGAAATAATTCATCTGGCTTCAGATACAGAATTCCCAATCAAATCCTATAGGGTTCAATCAACCAGCACATCCAATTTTATTGATATAAAAGAATTCTATAATCAATGTCAAAATAATATTAAACAAATTCTTACTAGATGGCTAGAGGAATACATATCAATAAAATTCAGTTTACAAGTATATGGACTATATGTAAAATACACAGAGGAGGGAGAGTGTATTGAAACCTTTAAACATTTTGGAACGGCCTACATATCTGTGTATGATGTTGATAACTTACCTACTAGAATTGATGAAGGTATCGATTATTTATCAAATGCTAGTAGTGAGTTCCAGGAAAGAGATTCTGGATGGGCAATAAAAGCATTTAAATATTTTGATATTACAATAATAAAACTGGAGCACATTCCTGTAAGAGGATATATTTCAGCACCTCCTACTATTAAGGCTAAGAACGCTTTAATTAATGTTAAAAACAATGATAATTATTGTTTTAAGTGGAGTATACTAGCTTCTATAGCTTATAAAAGTCATTCTTTGGAAACATTTTCTAACCCCAGACAACGGAGGTTTGCTAGAGAACAATTACAACTCCCCATAAAATATATAAATGTTAACATTTCACAAGAAAAAATAAAGTACAAACAAGTGGAACTTAATTTTTCAGGAATAGAGTTTCCTATTACGAAAAAGGGGATAAAAAAATTTGAGAAATTGAACCCCAACTTTAGTGTTAACGTATACGAACACGATTCTAAAGGAACACAAATTGTTGGACCAGTAGTAAGAACTGATTTTAAGGGGAGACCATCCCATATCAATTTGCTGGCAATTTCAAACAACAATTTGATGCATTATGCTTATATAACCTGTATGAGAACACTATGCTACTCACAGCATTCAAAATCTAGAACCCCTGCCTATTTTTGTGAAAACTGTTTACAGTTTATAACGTCAACAAATTCTACACATGATACCAAGGAATGCGGTAAAGTGGCTGCGGAATATCCAAAGCCGAATACCATAACAAAATTTAAAAATTTTTATAAAAAACTATCACCACCGGTAGTTATATATGCAGACATTGAAGCGGTATTAAAAAAAATTCACACAACCCAAAACGATCCATCAATTTCATCTACAACGACATCTCAAGAGCATATTGCTTGCGCTGTATCATTTTTTGTGGTACATAAATATAACCCAAGTCTTAATAGACAATGGACCTATGAAGGTAAAAACAATATTACAATCTAAAGTGATTTAATATTAATAAATATATTTTCTTTTAAAGGAGATGATTGCATTAAAAAGTTTTGTCAAGCACTCAAGGATACTACCAAGGGCTTATACCACAAATATTGGACCACCCAAACAAGGCTCCAAGATGAATGCGAACCGATCTCCGTCGACAACGATAATTGCTGTGCCTGTGAGTTACCGATACGGGATAACGCAGAAATGTTTTATGATCAATTCTCTGGTAGTCATATAGGCTATATCCATAAAAATTGTAAAGTAGATTATAAGTTAACTGAAGCGTTTTTCCCAGTAGTTTTTCATAACCTTTCTAGGTATGACATTCATTTATTTATTAAGGAATTAGGAAATAATTTAAAACCGATTCCTTGTAATAAGGAATTATATATTGCTTTGACCCAAACTATTAGATTTGATGAAAAAGATTATTACAAAATTCAATTCATAGATTCCAACAGGTTTTTAAATTCTAGTCTAGAAAAACTAGCTAGCTACATGGATGAATCTAATTTTAAACTTTTAAAAACTAAATTTCAAGGGGAGAAATTTAATCAAATGAGACAAAAAGGGGTATTCCCATATGACTTTTTAGATAGTTTTGAAAAAATGGAAGAAAAAAATCTCCCGCCAATTGAATATTTCTATAATTCCCTAACAGACCAACCTTGTTCTTTTGAGGCTTACCAATTTGCTCAAAAGGTTTGGTCAACCTTTAATTGTAAGAGTATTAGGGATTATTTAAAATTGTATTTAGAAAGTGATGTTATGATTTTAGCAGATGTTTTTGAGAATTTTAGAATAATATGCCTACAAATATATAAGCTTGACCCAGTTAATTATGTAACAGCTCCATCAATTTCCTGGGATGCTATGTTAAAGTTCACGCGAA